GAAGACGTGTTTCCGTTAAGGAGCTTTTATGTTGGAAGCGATTCCGAAAGCAACCACTGTCGGAATCTGCTAGTGACTAGAGGAGCCATGTCTGAGGGGCTCCGTCACAGACAGAGGTTTGTGGACTTGAACAAACTCTGAGGGGATACGATTTTACGCACAAGCAGCTCATCATCCCATCACAGTTGCCTATTTTAAAGTTATGTTTTACTATCACATTTTTGTATTGCATTGGATTGTTATAAGATGTACTTTTTTTTGTTTCTTCAGCCTGTAAACCGCCTTGAGTATTGTAAGAGAGAAAGACGGTATACAAATTAAAAATGATGATGATGATATTCTTTATCCTAATTTATTCCTAATTTGTTCAAGTCCCTGAATGGCGATTCAAAGGCAAAGCATCCAAGACATATTAGGCTATCCTGCATCCACAATCCGGTCTCTATCTTTCCTTTGCACTTTTCTTAGCAATCCCTGCCAAATGCGCGTCAGAGAAATGATAGTTTCCCTCTCTCCCACCCTCCATCGCTTGTGACCTGACAGTTACATTTGATTAGTTAATTGAAAGGGTGGGAGAAGATCACCCACCCACACACTTCTTCCCATTGCAGATGTCACGAAGGGAATAAGGGCTTTTGTAAGGTTGTTTCTTCTGCCCGAATTAAAAAGCTATACTCCCGGAGTAGGTTTCTGAACTAGTGGCGACAACTAGTGGTCAAAGAGATTAATCTGAGAAGCACATAGTCTCTGGAGAGGAAGGGGGGGAAACATTATCTCCAGGTTCTGATTAAAAGCCGTTTATTTAGAATCAAGTGGAAATATACAGGATGTTCTTTATGTCCATATTTCAGTGGACATTTGTTGGTTAAACTGCTGGCATGCATGGACCCACAGGCTCCTGTGCCCCTCATTCCCCTGGCATCTCTCCTTCAAACACAAAGAAGTTCTCATCTAAGTCCAATATAATTTCTTCCCTCCCATTGGCTGCATGGGAAGAGTGGGGAAGGAACCATTTAAACTGTATTACTTGTTGCACTGATGTACTGGGACCTAAGGATAAAGGGTGGATAATAAATCAAAGGAAAGGACGGACGGAAGGAAGGAAGGAAGGAAGGAAGGAAGGAGGGAAGGAAGGAAGGAAGATGTATTCAAGCCCTTTGAACACATCCATATAAGGATTATAGATTTTAATATGCTAATGTATTTCTTATTATTCCTTCTGACTGATATTGAAGCTACAGCTGCTTAGCCATGATGAAGCGCCGATATCCACTACACAGTAGCTGCCACAAGAATTTTATATGCAACCTATTAGAGACAAATGACTCCTGATACTTGGGGCAGACCCACACCATACATTTAAAGTTCACCTAATGTACATTTAAGGCACATTATTTCCCCCAAGGAATTCTGGGAACTGTACTTTGTTAAGGGTGCTGGGAATTGTAGCTCTATGGGGGGGCAACTACCATTCCCAGGATTCTTTGGCGGTGGGATATTGTGGTTTAAAGGTGTGTTGTCAATCTGCTATTAAATAATAGCTAGATGAAATGTGGCAACGAGTTCTGATGGCAAAAATAACTATTTCCACAGAAGGGGGAAGGCAGAAATTTGTTAATTTGCCAATAAACTGGATGGATTTCGTGATCTTAATCAATTTTACAAAGCTGTGGGAAGCTATTTTAAAATGCTATGGCTAAACTGGCGGAAATGACTGGTAGAATCCGTGACCAGGGAGAAGAGTCGGTGGAGGAAGATTGGAAGAAATTCAAAGACTATCTGCAGAAACATTGCAAAATTAAAGAATGTTAGAGTGATGTTGGATTGAAAATAAGTGGCTTCCAGCTGTACAGGATTTAAAGTTATAGATAGATTAAGATTAAGGATTAGGATTAAAAAAGTTTAAGGAAATGGAAATTTGGTTTTTAAGAGGTAAAATTTTAATGTTATATTATATTAAGACTAAAGATTGGGATTAAAAAGAGGGAAAGAAATTGCTGGACAAACAATTTGAACTGGAATACAAAAGAGGGAGGTATGAGGAGGTCCAGAAAATAAGTAAATTTAAAAATGGAGATGAAAAGGTGATATTGTTTTTAACTGTTTTTTTTTTCTTTTTTGTCTTTTGTTTTTTGTTCTTTTTTTCTTTATTGGATTATGTATTGTGTATTTTTTGAATTGTGTATTTCTTTTTTATGTTCTATGTTTAATTTTTTATGGAAACTTTAATAAATATCATTTAAAATGCTATGGCTTAACATGTATTGATTTATTGAGGGGAGGCAGTGAAACCACAACCTAAGAATTTACAAGGAATACTGTATGTTGATTTGTGCATTTTACTGTAAAATATTTGCTTGCCATGCTCAAGCATTTAAGTGTGGGCCGCCACTCCTTTTCCCTTCATTCGTACATCTCTACAGCAGCGCAGAGTACAGAATACCAACTATAAGGCTTCCCAAATGGCAGTGCTGCCCTAGTTACTGTGTTTTGGGGTGATAACAATTACAGCTCACCAAGGAAGAGGAAGAAAATACTAATAGCAGGTTTCAGTAGCATGAGCATCAAACCAGACACTTACACCCCAATATCAAAGCGAAATATCTCCACCTCCCTAAATGCCGTATGTCAGATGACCTGTTCTATAAACTGCCTGCACAAAGCCTAAACATAGGCTTTTAGTACTGCTCTTGATTGTGCAAAAGAGCACTGCGAGTTGTGCCAGTGTTGGTGCTGACCCTTTGCAGTCTCATCCTTTGCAGTCCCACCCTGCCAGCCAGGGGCAAAAGCAGCAGGGAGGCTGGATCAGTGACGGGGCAGATTCCCTCTCCCCCGGGCAAAAGCACCAGCCAGGACTCACCTCCAGGTTAGCCAACTGACTTGCACAAGAGCATGGAACCACAAAATGAGACATTCCAGGATCCAATCAGAAGCCACGGATGTTCCGGTCAAATCAGGCTGGTTCAGGGATAAGACTATGTTACATTAGGTGGGGAGAAGTATAATTTTTTCCTGTTTCTTTTACTCATATATGTTTGTTTGCTGACTATGTGAAAATGATTGTATTTATAAAGTATTTCCTTCATTAACTCAAGAAAATGATGGTGAAATGCTGTGGTGCTGTTACAAGATGGAAGTCACGCCAATTTGCACCCTGAAGCCATCCAGGTTTCAGAGCTACAATTCCCAGAGCTCATGTTTCAGAGCTGCAATCCATCCCTTTGCAGAGGGAACTTTGGGAATGTTAGCTCCATGAGAAGAATAGGAATCTCTGAACACCTCTCAGCACCCTTAACAAACCACATCTGCCAGAGTTCCTTGGCGGAAGCCATGACTGTATAAAGTGCCATCATCACAGACTTTAAAATATATGGTGTGACTGTGGTCCTGTTGGTACAAGGCAGACTGCTAAATTCAAAGGCTCTGCAGTAGTTAAAACCCAAATTGCTCTTAGGAGTCACATCCTCAGATGTTTAACTTTCCACTCCTTCTGCTCCCCATAAAAGCCCATGGCAAAGCTCTCAAGAGGAGCACATCTGGCTCTCACATTGAAAAACAACAACAATATTTTGGAAGAATACCACATGAAATCGGAATTCTCCTAACCCTAACATAATAAGTGTGCATAATCTAATTAGGTTTCGAACTGGGATCACAGCAAATGGTCCAAAATAGAAATATAGTAAGATTTCAAAAAAGATAATATGGAAAATGTGTATATCATTGCCAGGCTCTGCCTTCCTTCAAATACATGAGGCGTAATTGCCACTGATTCTAGGGGAGGCCTCTGGTCCTTTGAGTGAATCGAAGCTAAATGAGGACTACAGCAAAAGCAAATTGCAAATTATGAAAAAAAAAATTGTTTATCACCAAGAAAGAACTGTTTGGTGCACAAAGGACCAATTTGGGAGATGGGAAAAAGCCGAAGCCAAAAATGGGGAACATCCTCAGAAGGTTAAGGTTTAAAAAAGGAAGAAAACGATCAAAGAGCCCAATAGTGGAATTGTTCGTGAGATATGAAGAAAAATAAAGGATTTTGCAATTATGTCAGGAATAAATGTCCTATGGGACCTTGCTGGGGCAAAATAAAAGTCATCTTAGTCATGGGAGAACAGAGCGCGATGAGAAAGTCATCTGCCCATTCCTTTCACTGTATGGTTTACAAGTTCAGATACAGTTTGTTTGGAACAATGGCACTGCTGCTGTTTACGTACCAACATGTTACAACAGTGGTCTTCAAGGAAAAAAGGTTTTTTTCAGGCAAAGAGAATTTTCCAAGGTTAGCAGATAAAAAAACAAAACTAAAATTGAATAGCTAAAGCTGAAAATGAACCAGAGCGATATAAGACGGTCTCCATCCTTTGCTCTTAAAACACGAAGCTGAAAAGGTTGACCAGAAGCTGCAAAGTTCCCTAACTTCACTGAAGTATAATGTTGGTGTCTGTACTGGAGTTGAAAGTGGGGTTTTTTAAATATGTAACTGTTCTGTGTATGCTTTATTGCTGTGTGAAATCATTTTGAGATCATAGAACCCAATATCCAAATAACTTTATTATACTAGCCATTGGCCATAACAAACCTGAAGCAAAAATAAATACAAACAAAAGGGGTGTCGTGCCACAAATAATAGTCTCTATTTAGGAGATCAAAGAATCATAGAGTTGGAGGGGACCCTGAGGATCATCTAGTCTGTCCACTCGCATTGCAGGAATTTGCAGCTTTCCCTAACAGGGATTGAACCTGTGACCTTGGTGTTATTAGCACCATGCTCTAACTAACAGAACTATGGGCTTTGAAGACACTCGAACTCAGGACACAAGGGAGAAACGTGCTAGGAGGAAGGCACGCTTGGCAAATCCACACCGTGATCATTTCCCGCCCAGAAACCAATGTCCCCACTGTGGAAGGACATGTGGATTCAGAATTGGCCTCACAGTCACTTACAGACTCATTGTTAAAACCGTGTTTATGGAAGACAATCTTACTCGGCTACGAGTGATCGCCAAAGACAGGCCGGTGTAAACCTACATGTGGGCAAGCCCTGGGTCTGTCTTTCCCCCACGCACTACAGGTGGTAACCACATCTCCAGCTTACTATTTCTAAGGTTGCATCCAGCTATAAAAGTCACACATGCAAATCTTGTGCAGATCCGTGATTTGGTGACGCATGACACCCAGAAGACGCCCTGTGTCCTCTGCTGCTGGTTTCCACTTCAGAGCACTCAAAGAGGCTCAGAGAGACAAATAGTTTGTGTGCTCATTTAAGCACCATCTCCAGCAGGACACTAATCTTGCTTTTTGATACCTTTTGCCTTTGAAATGCTGTTAAGTTTCCCTGCCTGTTGATTTGCACCCCCCCCCCCCTATTAAGGCCTAGACAGAAAGGTAGTAGGAGAGACTGTGCTCTGCTGGTGAGAAAGGAGGAGGATGGAGAAGAGGGCTAGAGAAGACCAGAGACTGGAGTAGAGAGGTGACTAGGGAGAAACTGAAAAAGAGGCAAGGGCATGGGTGCTAAGTGATAGGGAAGGGAATTCTGCCAAGTCCGGCAGGTTGTGCAGGAGTGGGAAAACAGTACTTGCTGAAATGTCTTCTGCTGTTTTACTACTAAATGTGCAGAATCTCTACCACTGCCTTCCTCAACCTGCTGCTCTCCAGGCTGATGGAGGATGCTTTAATGCAGGGGTCAGCAAACCTTTTCAGCAGGGGGCCAGTCCACTGTCCCTCAGACCTTGTGGGGGACAGGACTATATTTTTTGGGGAGGGGGAATATGATGCAAGAGCACCACGAGCCCTGTGGCTGCTTACCTGTGTCTTGGGAGCGGCAGGGACTGGCGGCAGTGGTGGCAGCAGAGGGACGATGAGCGAAAGGGCTCCAGAGAGGGGCTGCTTAAAATGGCGGCCACTCGAGTGCTGCTGCTGCTGCTGCTGCTACTGGCACCAACAAAGCCCAGCCCCCTTCCTCCTCCAGGCAGGGCAGGGAGAAGCCAGGAGGAGGGAGGGAGGAGGCGGAGGTGGCGGTGCCGTGTGAGCGAGAGGGAGGGAGAGGGAGAGGGAAAGAACGCGCACACTGGCGATCCACACAGCGATTCCCAGACCGTCTGTGGGCTGCATCCAGAAGGCAATTGGGCCTGATCCGGCCCATGGGCCTTAGTTTGCCTACCCATGCTCTAATGGTACTGTATGCCCATCTTTCTTTACAGTTGGTCACCCTAGAAGAAACCCATTGCACCTTGACTGCAGGCATGCAATGTCTTCTTTAGACCAAAAAGGAAAGCACAGTGCTTTCATGTGGGCAGATATATGAGCTGTTTGCCTCGTGATCCTGCTGGTCCTCCTTACGCATCAACATGATGGATTGTGCTTTGGACCAAGTGAAACGACTCTTGTTTTGCTTCCTTGAGATCCTGGCACAGGTCCAAATGGCCCAGGTGGATTTGCCTAAAGCCAGGCTTCCGACAAGAGGAAGCATTCCCAGATAAGCAGTCTGCCTTGGTTTCATTTTAGTTACAGATGAGGAGGCTCAAACACATTCCCCCTTTGACTTATGGATGGTAGATCCCTGGGACAAAGTTTCAAGCCCTGTGCAGCAACAGTTTAATATGGGTCAAAACAAGGCAACACAAATCTGCCACTAAGTACCTCAAGAAAAGGATGCAGATTTAGGAAGCTTAAGTAGAATATGTTAAAATTTATTGCCACTGGGAAAAGTCACTGGACTGTAAGCCACAGAGGATAAAACTCCTCTCTTTAATCAGAGAGCTGCTGCTTTAGCATGGAAAACTGAAATACAAGCTCCTCATAAATGTTACCTTATCAATACTTCGCATCTCTAGAGGCAGAAATATAGCAGCCTTAACTTCATTGCTCTTTTCCATTTCACCTTTGATGCTCTTGATGGAGACTCACAATTGTGCTTACCAGGATTGTGGCAGTAATAAGTGTAAGAAATTTATTAACTGGGTCCATCAGAGCTTTGTTGTGTGGAACCTGAGAGCACAATCCTGCTCAGAAATAAACCCCATTATGCTCAGCATGGCTTACTGTTAGGTAAGGAAGTAGGCATAACATTGTGCCTTTAATCACCCAGTTTCTGAAGGCAGACCATTAAAATGCAATACATAAATAAAATACCCAATTTCCTCTCCATTGTAAAGCAAATGCTGGAGAAGCTGGAACCAGACCAATAATGTAGAGCAGCATCCCCCCCCCCCCAATTTGGTGACTTTCAGGATTGTTTTTGTTTTTTGGGACAACTCCCATCACCCCTTGCTATTGGCCATACTGACTGGGACTGGTGGCAGTTGGAATCCAACATCATCTGCAGGGTACCATATTGGAGAAGCCTGATGAAAAGCCCCAGCCATTGGTACAAGTCTTTCCCTTTCTATTCAGGAGCTGGACCCCAACATTATGTAATTATGTAATTTTATTAGATTTCCAGGAGGCTTTTGATGTCATTGTTAAAGAGGAATACATCATGCCACAAGATCATGCCCCAAGCTGTTAGGGTTTTATGTAATAATATGAACACCTTTAATTTGGCTCAGGAGCAAACTGGCAACCAGTGCAAGTCCCTGAGAAGAGGCTCCTCCATCCAAGTCTTATCAGTGCCTGCCAAGTCAACCCCTTCTTCCATGAGCAAGTCGTAGATGAGCATTGGTCGTATGATGGACTGACCTGGCGTTCAGTAACAGCACCACCAGACTGGAAGGCTCCACAAATAAGCTGCTTGTAGTTAAACCTTCAGTGAGTTAGGGACTGGCCTATCCCCTGCATGAGAAGACAGGCTTCAATGGGTTGAGTGGATAAGACCAATAGTGGGTCCAATGGTCAAGAAGGCGGTTTCTGCACGTGCTGTAGAGGGAAGTGAGTGGCAGACGGGGATTGTCAGTCTGGGAAAGTAGCCCAACTAGGAGAAGGAAAACTCTAATCCTAGACCTCCACTGCTCTGCGGCTATACACATTTGCAAGAAAGGCCTCAGGAGTAAACCTTAAGGAACAATCCATACTCACTACTTTGTGGGATATTTTTTGGAAGAAGAAAGGTCTAAGGAGTAAACCCTACACAAATTAGGAGTGGATTCCCTAAGATGATTGGATGGTGCCTTGTACGCCTCCTTCCAGCAACTCTTGCAGCCAAACTGGTGCCAAATGTATCGCTTCCTCTCCTTTGGACCACTTCAGCGAGGACAGGAGGTGGGTCTTGCTGCCTGGGCAGCCCAGGATCTCCATACACACTGCAAAATGCGTAGGCAACCATAATATGGTGTGTGTTTTTAGCCCAGCTACAAATGAAAAGCAGCCTTTAAAAGGTTACAGCAGTGACACCGTACAGACCATAAAAGAGGAAATGAGAACAGCAGCAGCCCATCTGAATGAGAAAGAGATCACTGTACAGAGATATATTGTACAAAGGTGATGACTGGGGATGGCAATCGAGAAATGTTTCCTCCGCTGGCATTATTAAATGAACTAGCAAGAAAGAAGTTGCTGCGGAAAGCAAAGCTCACTTCAGCCGGGGTGATTTAAATAAGACTTTGCACTCCCACTGCATCCTACCACTGCCATCTTGTGGACAGTTTTGATATACTGTAAAAAAATTGTTTTAAATATAAAGGTAAAAGGTAAAGGACTCCTGGACAGTTAAGTCCAGTCAAAGGTGACTATGGGGTGCTCATCTCACTTTCAGGCCAAGGCAGTCAGCATCTGTCCACAGACAGCTTTCCAAGTCCTGTGGCCTGCACAACTAAACTGCTTCTGGTGCAACGGGATACCGTGACGGAAACCAGAGCGCACAGAAATGCCATTTACCTTCCTGCTGAAGCGGTACCTATTTATCTGCTTGCACTGGTGTGCTTTCAAACTGCCAGGTTGGCAGAAGTTGGGGCAGAGCAACGGGAGCTCACTCTGTTGCGGGGATTCGAACTGCCAACCTTCTGATTGGTGAGCAGAAGAGGTTCAGTGGTTTAGACCACAGCATCACCCACATCCCTTTTTGTTTTAAATATAGTGAAAAGCTTGCTAGCTTTGCAAAGTTGCTGCTTCGTGGTCTACAAAAGAGTGTGTCAATTCAGCTGTCCTGCCCTCCTGTCCAGTTCCTTATAGCCAGAATGCAGTTGTGCTTTGTTGTTGTTGTTTAGTCGTTTAGTCATGTCCGACTCTTTGTGACCCCATGGACCAGAGCACGCCAGGCACTCCTGTCTTCCACTGCCTCCCGCAGTTTGGTCAAACTCATGCTGCTAGCTTCAAAAACACTGTTCAAACATCTCGTCCTCTGTTGTCCCCTTCTCCTTGTGCTCCCAATCTTTCCCAACATCAGGGTCTTTTCCAGGGAGTCTTCTCTTCTCATGAGGTGACCAAAGTATCGGAGCCTCAGCTTCAGGATCTGTCCTTCCAGTGAGCACTCAGGGCTGATTTCCTTCAGAATGGATACGTTTGATCTTCTTGCAGTCCATGGGACTCTCAAGAGTCTCCTCCAGCACCATAATTCAAAAGCATCAATTCTTCAGCGATCAGCCTTCTTGATAGTCCAGCTCTCACTTCCATGCATCACTACTGGGAAAACCATAGCTTTAACTATAAGGACCTTTGTTGGCAAGGTGATGTCTCTGCTTTTTAAGATGCTGTCTAGGTTTGTCATTGCTTTTCTCCGAAGAAGCAGGTGTCTTTTAATTTTGTGACTGCTGTCACCATCTGCAGTGATCATGGAGCCCAAGAAGGTAAAATCTCTCACTGCCTCCATTTCTTCCCCTTCTATTTGCCAGGAGGTGATGGGACCAGTGGCCATGATCTTCATT